ATACGAGATGATTATGATGATAACATGATGATGTTACATGACTCAATTGGATCGGATATATGATCACGTGGGTTTAAATGGGAGCTTAAGCATAACTTGATAATAGTTGAGGATAAAATCTTGACTTACTAAAAGTGCTAACTGCAAAGAAACCAAAGGTCGACCTTTTTGAGCTTCATAACCCCATGTTATCTTGTTGAGTACGGGACGATTTTACGCTTGTTTAATTTTCAATATTTGGATAAAAATCCGGATGGGTAACAGATGACAACGGATATAAGGAGTTTCCCGAGGATTATTAGGCTTGTGGTCAACCAATGAAATCGTCCCCATGATGGAGTTCCACGAGAGAGTTATCTTTTTATCTTCCGCTGTGTTATGTAAGTCAATGTGATGCTATTATTCGTTATGTAAGGTACACCGTGATGATACTTTTTATAATTTGTCAACTTATGTGTGTGACTGATCCCTGGGCACACATGAGTTTAGTGCATTCAATTTTATCCTTAAAATTGGGTGTGACACATGTGAACGAGAGGTAAATGTGTATACTTGTTTTTTCCCGTTCTATATATAAGTTTAGTTATTAATTGTCATGTATTGTAAGAAGCATGCATGTTTGTTGAGAAAAGGTCACAAAAATGTCTAACTTTGTTACTAGCTTCCTCAACTTATGCACCCTATGATTTCAAGTATAGACCATTTTGGCCTTCTCAACTATTTTGAAGGTAAGTCATCTTAATGTTCTCGTAATACCCTAGCCCGTTAGTAGTGAAGTTGGTCCATGTGGCTCATGTGTGGTTATAGTTGGCTAGTTTAGTACCACTTTGGAAGTTTAGAAGGCTAATAGCTAGCTTATAATTCTTATCACTTCAAACATAGCACCTCTGATAGCTATGCATATGTGGCCTATTCCACTTGAGGAGCTAGGTTGTAAGCAAATTTGGATGCGGAGTGTCAACCCTTGTTGTATGTGATGTGCGTTGTGTTGTACGTTTCGTTGAGGGGTACAATCCACACTCTTGTGTACCTGTGGAGGGCTGTGTTGCACGTTGCCCATGGAGGGGTACAATGAACACTCTTGTGTTGTGAGTGTGCCCATGAAGGGCTGCGTTGTACATTGCCCATGGAGTGTTGCATTGTATGGGGTACAATGCACACTCTTGCATACCCATGGAAGGGTAAGAATGGCATAACCTTGTACCAAGAGGTGATTCTTGGTGTCTCCTGCATATGCGGTGAGCAGCCGAGGGCATTAGCACTTAAAGAGGGGTGAATGTAATACTCGTAGTAGTGAATATGGTCCATGTGGCCCATATGTGGCTGTAGTTGGTTTAATACCGCTTTGGAAGTTTAGGAGGGAGATTATGGCTAGGTTATAATCCCGATCGCGCCAAATTAATGTAGCACCTCAGGTTTAAGAGAGGTGCTACACATATGCGCACTCGTTCCATGAGCTAGATCATAAGCAGATTTGGACACATGTTATTACAGTTCTACCAATGCTACTGATGTTACAAATAAAGAAATGTATTGCCTAAATATATGAGAGTTAACTTATAACTACAGCTGGCCAAAGGAATGAACTAAGTTACCTAGAGTTTGTAGGGTTTATCTATTAATTCATTTGTTGTAGTTGTAGAAATACTATCAATATTTATTGTATGTTGCTTAGCTAGCTAGTTGTGGTCCTAATCAGAGAAAAAAATGTAACATGTGCAGATCTATGTAGAGGGTCATAGTACGCATGCGGTACAGACTGCTTGGGCAATGCTAGCTTTGCTTCATTCTGGACAGGTTCGATTTGTACATCAAATATCAGTTACTCCAAAGGAATATTCCCTAGATATAAAAAGTGATGTTTTGAATATATGTAATCAATCGTTGCAACATTTATGAATATGAAGTTTATGTTTTGGATACATCATTTTATTATCTAAAATGTCACTAGCTTGTCAATGACTAGTAGGAATAGCATTTATAAATATATGTTGATTGCATCCACCTTATTATTCTAATTTGTGTAATTAATAGATGGAACGGGGCCCAACACCATTACATCGTGCGGCAAAAGTATTGATTAATATGCAGTTGGAGACCGGCGACTTTCCTCAGCAAGTTAGTTTTTTTCAAATAATCTATTGATACAACCAATACATTTTATAAATTTTGTTTGAACAATCTCTTTGTTCAGTTGACTATGCAACTCTTTCTCCCATTAGATTTTATGAGAAAAAACCTATATATTAATTTCATGGCTCAAATAAGTAACAAGGTGATGTCTACTCATACTTTGGTCATGCTATGCATATGCTAGGTCTTTTTCTAGTTCATTATTCTGTTTTAGTGTCACATTTCTATGTATTGCCCATTTAGATATGTAGTTGTAGCATTAAAGTTAGAAAGATGCATTCTTTAAAGCATTCTTTAAAGAGGTTATAATTGCATCTTTGTGTTCTACATATACTAGACGTGTTCATGTACAATATGTTCATCTAGTTAGTACTATGTAGCTTTATATTTTGTTTTATGCATTTACACCTTATTATGGACATCTTTCTCTTGAATTACTACATAGTAAGACAAAAGATGCATAGTTACATTGTCACATAAACTACCATTACTAACCATGCGCATGCATTTTGATTATAGGAACATGCTGGCAACACCAACTCTTCCGTTTACTTCAACTACCCTAACTACCGCACTTTATTCCCTATTTGGGCCCTTGGGGAGTATCGTTGTAGACTACTTACCAATATTAACTAAAGGCGACTCATGCAAAGCAAATAGCATACACAACTTTATGTCACACAAGTGAAATATATTGATTGCAATAGATGAAATCCTTGTACTTTCTATCATGGTTTGTAATTTAGTATAGCACATACAAGAATATGGTGGCCCCATAAATGACTCAATTCTATTTTATCTATGAAAATACATTATATTAACTACTCCTTTGGTCATAGATAAGTGAAAATTTTGTTTCTATACAATCACACTATCTATACTTTCGTTATAGTTTGGCTTAAATGTTTAAAATTGTTGAGTTCCTCTACCAATAGTTTCATAACAATATACATTTTCTATACTTCATAAACATGATGCCATATGAATGAATTTGTAATTAATATTATTTTAGAAAATATGATAAAATCTATAAAAAGCATATATCTAATTCATCTATTTATTGGTGCTCTATTTAGAGTTCTTTGGATCTTGTTCCTGTTGCTAGTGTTTTATTGCTCATGTCCCTGATCAATATTTATTTGAATTGTCGTTGTGTTCTGTACTTTATGTTGGTCTTGCATGATTTTTGTGCCCCTGCATTATTACAAACCTATTACCTAGTCAAACGATCAAAATCAAGTATAGTACTAGCCATGCAATGCCTAAATAGGATCTGTATGTAGTGAAGCATGGCATCTACGAGGTTGTCATCACCATTGACATATTTAATGCACTCGGGATCCATTGGACCATTTTGGGTCATATTCCATTATACTAGTGCACAACAATAACTAAAATAAATAACAACTGCAAGTTTGCAACTGTGAGCAATAAATAACTAGTGGTATGAATAAGTAAGATCTAAATACCTCTAAATAGAGCACCATAGATAGATTATATTTTAGAAAAAAAAAAAATTGGTACAGGCACTACAAGATATCTAGCCTTCCATGACAACTATGTCATTGATTAGTGAATATATGTCATAATATAGGATTTGTGACACTTGCATGACAAAAACTGGTTCAACTATCTTTCATCTCTAAAGTCCTTCTATGATGAATCAAAGTTTTTTCTTCATAGAATTTGTGAAGATTTTTTTCATGGTCACTACTTTTATGATATTACATGTTTTCATTTATTACTAAAAATCATCATAGATTATACCAAGTGTCCAAAAAATCATAAAATCTTGCACCTTAGTGACATGGATCTAATGTGGTAGTGGTTATGATGTTTTATGTACATGGCACGGCAATACATTATGACAAATGTTGTTGTCTTAATTTTGTCGATGGCCCAATTATATATGGGCCAAAGCTAGTTTACTTATCATAACAATTTGAAACCCATTTTAGAGAAATACTTATCATTGGCTGATAACAACTTGCATTGTATTGGTTAACCCAGGAGAGATCCTTCTCCTCTCCCACCGCCTAATGCACCGCCACCACCAAGAAGAGATCCGTCTCCTCCTGCTCCTATGTCGTCATTGCCACCACAGCTATAAGCTAAGTCCTAGGACAAAGGCCACACATCAAGGTCTACTGGATTAAAGAAAATGTACAGCCCCTCGGTAAATCAGGCTCCCAAAACTTGTGGAAAAACAAAGTAGATGAGTGGGAGCATAAATAGCCTAATGAAAGAGCCACGTTAGCAGGAGACACTCACCAAGGAAGAAAATCTCTCCTTATTGAAAAGGTTAGAGAAACCCCCGAAGAAATATATATATATCCGTCAGACTACCAACGACAGCACATGAAAGCATCCAGCAAAGCAAAAGGTTGACAAGTACATATCAAGAAAAGGATAAAAAGGTAGAAATTAGTCAAAGAAATGTGCATGACAGAGGAAGAGTTGCTACTATTAGAGCATGGAAATTTTGAATTGAAATCGGCAACTATTGCATACTAGTACGAGCATGGCAAAGATCTATTGGAGCACAAAGAAAGAGATCGATGAATTGTTGACAAATGTGTCAACTACATGAATGGTACAAAATACAGAGCACTCTGAAGGACCAAACAATGTTTGGAGTTAGAATCCCACCAGAGATATTTCATAAAGAAGACACGATATTTGGGATTTTGGGTACTGACGAAAAGCTTGATACCGGTACTATTTCATTTAGCGTACTCTTAACTACAGTAGTTACTGACTGGCTAGCTAATTAATTATACACCCATACAGCACTGGAACGCGTAACGCGTACAAACAAAACTAATGTTCAGAAACTTAACACACGAGCTAATTAACTAGCTAACAGTTTATGGGTGCTTGACGTCTTGGGTGTATATGTAATCCGTGTGCATTTCTGTCCATTTTGACGTATCATCACACGGCAGTTCACCCTTGTCTGCACTTCCTGTACCACCTCCCATAGCGTCACTGCACGGTTCCTGCAGATTATTCAGCAAATAGCACACCAATTATTTTACATATTCTGCATATAATATATATACTTAATTATCTGGACTTGTGGTTGTGGATTAGCATGGATATATGAACATATATATAGGTAATCCCCCCATCAACAGTTGGTAATACTTGTGTCATCCAATCGCATGTCAAAACGTGGGAATCCATAGTATGCAAGTGCTTGGATCATGTGTAGTGTAGATAAGCATGTGAATATGTATCTGCAGCATCAAGAACGGTGCTGCCGTTCTGGGTGCCATAGATAGATATCTGGGGCTGCTTCACATGCTATTGCCCTCCAAACTCTCAGCACAATGCAACCAAAAGTTAAATAACAGCAGCGGCCAGAATGATGCTCTTGTTAATACTCAAGGGAAGCGTGCGTATATATATAGCAGCAGCAGCAGCTCTCTGTCTTCAAGGAACACAAGAATATATATACGTGCTGCAGTATATGTACTGTACGCAACATTCTAATTTCTCTCTGTACATGTAATCCATGTCACCATGTGAGTATGTGACTGAATGAGTACTTTCCCTCGACGAAATCAGTATTCATGCATACAGCATACTGCATACCCATCGAAGTTCAGCACAAAATTTATTATATATACAGTAAGGCAAGATTCGGATGATGAACCGACCAAAATATTTTGACGCAAAAATATAATGTGCATGCATTCTCTTTGCTGCAGTGGTGAAGTTTCAGTTTCAGAGAGGTATTTAGCATAGCATAGCAGTACGTACAGTGGTTAGGAAGATTCAGAGAGACGCTTACCAGGGTGGTGCTTCGGCCAGCAGCAGCGCCATGGTTGCCAAGGCCATCATGGGTTTCCTCCTCCTGCTCCGTCCACGATAGCTTCCTGGACTGAACATCCTGGACTAGCAGCAGAGCGACCACCGTGCAGACAAGGCAGGCCACTGCCATGACGGTTCTCCTCCCGTGCATCATTGTGCCCTGACTACCAGAAACGAGAGACTATGCCAGCCAGTCGTTATGCTCTGGTCTGATTTGATCGATCTCCGTCCTCCCTTTGGTTTACTTTTCTTCAGTTTCTTCTCTCGGTCAGCGCTTTGCTACCATGGCCAAACAGAAGCAGCAGGAAGAACATATATATAGGCAAGCAATGGAGGTTGTAGACGACGATGGTCGATGGACGAAAAAAAATTGGGTACGGGACTCCGTACGCGGCACCGTGAGGCTGCCCACTTAAATGTCGACGTGTGGCAGGCTTGGTAAAATTGGCTCGGCATGCTCGTAACTGAAGATCCACGTGTTGTGGATTTATGAGGCAGCCGCACGATGCTGCGTCCTGGAGTCCCGTACCCATTTTTTTTTCCCGATGGACGTACGTACGTACGTGCGTGGTTTATTTCTTGGGAAAATATCATACGTGCGCACCGCGCATGCGCTAGCATCTCCGATGTGATAGTAGTAAAACCAAAAAATTGGTACGTGTGCCTCGGCTCACCTCGCGGTGCTGAATTAAAACCTCTGTGATCCGATAGCCCATTTGCCTGGCGCACCGCATTGTTCACATTTGACTTTTGCAACTTTTGCACGCACCGAGTATCCTGCTAGAACACGACCCGGGTAACGAGGCCCCCCTTGCACGCCCGGCCGATCGAGGCCATGGCGCCATGCACATACCAATGCAAAAATGTTAATGTGTGGTACGTTGACCAAGTGGAGGAATAAAGCGAGAGAGACACGAGCAAGGAAGACTGAGAAGACGAAGTAAATGGCATTGCATTGGGCTATGCGAGTGAGAGCCTGAGAGGGGAGGAGACCTCTGCATCGGGAGGAGCACGGTGAGTGGGAGTGCCAAATTAATGGGTTACGATCCGAAGTCAAATCTCAAATCAGGTGCCCAGGCCGTGCGCAAGCGCAAAGCTTCTATCCCCTTCTCCTTGCAGGGTTTTGGCAGAGGCTGGACACATCCTTGGGGAACGGAACAACGATGCCTTTCCACAGGAAACCAAACTAGCACACGTCTATGCATTCACATATGTCATGTGTGGATCATGGTTCAAGGGTACTAACTGACTTTTGTTTAGAACAAGTATAATAAATAACTGTACTATGTGGTTTTTATACAGGGATACAGAAGAGAGATGAGGAGAGAAGAGAGCTGAGTTGTAAGACCAGTCTAAGTGAGTTTTATATCTTAGTTTTCAAAACTCTCGTACGTTGGAAATAATGTAACAAGTTTTATCCCCATAAAATTCATTTCATCCCATAAAACTTTTATAATCTCTCTCTTTATTTATATTATGCCATGTTAGCTTATTTAAGGCATATAAAACCTCCACTCAGACTGGCTAATTAAGTTTATAGCTAATTAATGTCCGGCTTAGACAAAAAAAACTAAGAATTTTGTGTGGGAGGTCACTTTTTTTTGTTTTCTCCCACCTAACACGTCGGATGAAATCTGAATCAGCTAGCGAAGTCCCCTGTTGTTGCCGATGCTCAGCAGAGAACCGTACCACCACAGTTGTTGGCTGCAGCAATTGCAGCTTTAGCTGCAGCGAACAGGGCCACAGGTTACATAGGCCTGTTTGGAATCCTGACCGAGGGTGACCCCTCTAGCCCAACGCATGGCCTGGGCAATCGCAGCCTAGTTTTTGAGGTGCACAGTGCTATGTTTGTTTTCCTATCTCAGCTGGGCTTGGCCCTTTAGAGGTGGTGTTTGTTTCTTGAACTAGAAGTGGGCTAGGGAGCAACTACTGTCTCAGGGCGATGGGGAAAAACGGGCCAGAAGAGCGCAGCGCCAGCCGAGCCCAGGAGAAATGAAATTCCCCTGGGCTGGCCCAACGGTGCTTTAAAGCCTTCGCTGGCCAGGCTCTGGTGGTCTTCAAGAAAACAATCAGGCCCAGCTGAATCCGCTGGGCATAGCCCAAAGGCGGAGCCAGGATTCCAAACAGGCCCATAGTGCCTGCTTGAGCCAAGGTAAATCCAATTTAAACCGCCACTTCTGCTAAAGTGCCCAAGAAGTCCTTGAAATGTTGAAAAGTTCTTCATGTCTTGTTATTTTTTACATACCAATTAAAACAAATTCAGAGCATGTCTAGCGAACACTACATGGTGCGAGCAGAGAGAACAAAAAGAGAGAGAGAATAAAACTGCGGCCCTTACGTTTCTTTAACTTATTGTACGTAATCCACTATCATGTACACCATGTCTATTTTAAGCTCTATAACCTTCCTTTTCATTGCTAATGGACTGCTAGCTTTAACTCCCCACGCTAGCTTATCATGTATGCTACAATGGGATTGCCCATCCCAATCCTAGATAGGTCACTTATACTTTTGGTTTCCCTTATTAGTAATCTTACAAGGTGCAAAAACATTCTCAATTTTGCCACGCGATTCCTTTTTCTAGGTGATGACGTTTTCGCCATATTTTGTTTTCATCTTGCAAACGTAACAAAGATAACAAGGGTGTACTGAATGCTGAAGCCACTAACAATTGTTGATAACAAAAGGCATTTGGATCGCTAAGCGCTAACCGCGCATCCATATCTTGTCCATTTCTATATCAAAAGGTTTGCCAAGTAGATGGAAAAAAACCGGCCATTTACGTCACTGAAAACTGTTTGTCAGCTAAAACCAAGGCAACGAGGATAACAGGAAGGTTAGGCTTTACTTTCAGAAAAGTTGTTTTCATGGTAAACTGCGCACATTGTCAACTGATGTAGGAGATTAACTGAATGTCTTAGACGTCAGTAGTTGCCATTATTTCTGAATACTACCTGTCTAACTGGATAAGCAGAAAGAAATGTTTCTAGATGGCATGGCAATAAAAACAGGAAGGTGGTCTGAAAAGTGCTAAACCAAAGTTTGGCTAAGACAGTAACCTGTTGTTGAGCTGATGGTGGTTGTTGAGAAAATTGGAAGACAATGCTTCAAAAGTTGATGGTCAGCAAGAGTCACCATAAACAAGTTTATGCCGTCAGAAAAGTAAGCCCTGTTGTCCTACTAATTAAACCCCTATAGTACTAGCTCGTCAATTCCACATATACATTTTGCTTTTAGACATGTCCCGTTGTCTTATAAGTATCATACACCAAATTGGAACAATTATTGCTGCTAATGGCATTGGTAGGTAAGCAAATCAAAACTGATGATATGCAAACTAAGCCTACAATCCTAAAAGAACATTATCATATGCATACACTTAGATGTCGGTCGTTAACACACAAATATATTCATAGATGATGCATGTCTGCATTCAAGTTCCAAATATATTCATAGATGAACACAAGACATCAGCATATGACAAACAAAAGTCTCCTACTGTGTTCAGATCATGTTTGCAGCCATCATCACTTGTTAATCTGCTGATGTATATGGGGGTGTTTGGATGCTTTATATACCACTCCTTGCCTAACCTTGCCCAAAGAGAATATGGAGCAGTACATTCGTTTGGTTGGCAAGCAAGGTTTTCTCGGACTCTGTACACATTCTTGCTAGGCGCAGCGAGCCAATTCGGCTCTGACTTAGCAAGGTGTGTCAAGGCATTGGCTCATATACCACCCATGTGTGTCAAGGCATTCACATATACCACCCATTTTCCCATTGTATTTATAGGAAAATTTATTTGCTTATACGATACCACCCATTTGCCTATGTATTTTTGTTAAAACTAGCTATTTTAATAGAGTTTATCGAACCAAATTAAGGGTCCCTTCGGACCACAAGAATTGTATAGAAATTTCATATGAATCAATTTATTTTTCACATAGAAACGTAGGAACTGGGAAAAAAATCTCGCATTCGAGGGGGGGGGGGGGCAAAAGCCTCCATAGAAGGCCAAAGGGATTGCCCAACAGTACCAGAAAGCTCTCGCAACCACATGTAACATATATGCACCCAAAGAAGTGCACCAAATAGTTTGAGTACTACTGGCATTATTTGTGGCGTCACTATACATAAACATCTTGCTATCATATCTTGACACAAAAAAAAGCGTGAAAGGCAATGCCGTCGTCACTTTGTCACGCAATGAAAAGACTTTCTGCTAAATAAAGTACCTCGTGGACAAGTAAACTATTCTTGTCCTCACGCGTTGTTGAGCAAAGTAATATATATATATATATATATATATATATATATATATATATATATATATATATATATATATATATATATATATATATATATATATATATATATATATATATATATATATATATATATATATTACTTTCTTTAATATGATAGTAATCTCACAGGAAAAAGAAAGGCGCGAAATTTCTCAAACCAATGCTTCAAACTCCAAAGCTCTCTGCGTGCTTTGCGTGCAAATTTCGAATCAAAGTAGTGGGCAGGAATTGCAGCGACTTCATGGCATAATTTTCCACACGAGAAGACGACTATTTCTGAATAAAAAGGCCTATCTCCTCCCTATCACCCTACGATGATTGACGTGTACGGCTACGGCTTGGCAAGCAAAATTTGCAGCCAGACGACAGCAATCGGATCCCAAAAATCGACAGGATAATCCTGCATGAAGACGCAACAGGACGCAAAAAGGAAGGTTCGCTCTCAGTCTCTCAGCACGATGCCTGAAACTTTAGGGCTCTCTGTGTCTGTGTGCAGTTTAAAGGAACTCACTCACCTGCATCTGCATCTGTATATATATACGTCGTCGTCATCTCCTCCCTAGCTCGGTCCCGGAATTGATCGAAGAAGAAGACTCTGCTTTAAATACGACAACAGGTAGCTTCCAATCATCTCTTCGTCATTGCAACTTTGCCGAGAGCTACCCTGCAACAGCTAGCTTCCAGTCATGCAGAGAGACGACATCGCGACGTCGGTGTGCCAGTGCCACACGCTCGGTGCTGCAGCAGACTTCGCGAGCTTCTACATGCTGCAGCACGGGCACGGCTCGCTCGCCCACGAGCCGTCGTCCTACCCGGGCACCGCGGACGGTTCTTGGGGCACGTACGGCGGCCACGGCACTGGCGCCGGTGCCGGCGGCGTCGGCGCCGGGACGAGCATGGGCGCGGGAGAGCTGGAGCAGCAGCAGGCGGCGCGCGACGAGCGGAAGGCGAGGCGGCAGGCGTCGAACCGCGAGTCGGCGCGGCGCGCACGCGCCCGGCGGAGGGGGCAGCTCGACGAGCTGTCGTCGCGCGTGGCCGCGCTCCGTGCCGCGAACGCGCGGCTGGCCGTGGAGCTGAACCGCGTGGCGGCCGCGCGCGCGCGGGAGGCGCGGGAGAACGCGCGGCTCAGCGCGGAGGCAGCCGCCCTGCGGGAGAGGCTCGCGGTCGCCGAGGCCGCTGCCGCTGCGGCGGCGGCGGCGGCGGCGGCTGACAGGGAGGCGTCGGGGAAGGGCGACGCCGGCGATGAGGCAGCGGCAACGCCAACGGCCGACTAGGCAGGTGTTCGATCGCCGATCGGCGACCAAGATGACATAGTAATTCACTACTAGGACAAGAAGAGGGAGACGGAGAGGACCATTTGCCTTTGTGCATAGCTGGTTGTCGTGTGTTCGTAAATCGTAAGTATGTAGTCGTGGAGCTCCTGAGATTTGCTCGTTCTGAATCTCCGAACACTCTGCAAGGTACAGTAAATACTCGTTCGTCCATAGGTCGCGATCATACGATACGACTGATGATTTTGGAATCTAATACAGTTACGAGACCCTGTTTTTACTATAGAACTCAATTGATTCATGTGCAATTAGCGATTAGCATAGCCATTACATACTGGTAAAGGGTGGTTGTAGCCTTTAGGTAGTATACTCCAACTCCAAGGTGAGGCCGGCGAGCAGCACCGTGGCCGCCGACCCAAGCTTCCGCAGCATATAGGCGAAAACTCAACAAATTATGGGCCTGGACATGATTCGGTAGGCTTAAAAGGGCCCAGCATATGCAGAACAGGAGAGTGGCAACGTCCATGGCAGTCGCGGCGCCGCCTCTTCTGTTTTGGGACACCTCCCAAGTACACTACCAAAGCTGTGGACTATGGAGCGAGCCTGCAAACGTCACCTGTGGCTAGAACCTACAATGCATGGGGATCTAGAGCCGTGGCATAGTTTGCCGTCCAAAGAAAACCAATGGGTGCCAACCACCGCGAGGAACACCTGCCGAATAGCAAAATCTCAGTCATATCCAGCCCAACTAGCACAGACACAATGCATCCAAATCAGAACTCCTCGCTGACCATCGAGCTCGCCTTTTCTCAGGACATGGTCACATGAACGACATGATACTTCACCTGATCCCCAATGGCCACTAAAGGCACAGGGAGTGCAAAAGCCATGTAGCATATGCAGTTTGGTTTCAGTGTAACCATGGTCTCAGGAATGGTGCATGGTCTCAGGATTCAGTGTAACCATGGTTCATTAAAAGCATTTCCAGCAGCTTACCAATAACTCATCCCTAATAAGATGGTATTAGTGGCCACCAATACTGGTTTTTAGATTTATTGGGGGAGCTGCTCCAGCAGATCATCAATAAACTCCCCCAAAACATGGGACCCACGTGTCAGGTTCTATTTATTTTCCTTTTTCTTTTCTCTCCCGACGTCTTCTTCCCGCAGGCCGTAGCGCCGCCAACGCAGCTCCGTCGCCAGCCCTGTCTAGTCCGCGCCCAGCCCCAGCCCTGGCTCCGACCAGCGCTGGCCAGCCACCAGCGCCGGCCCGCCGGAGCACCGCCCGCCCGCTGGAGCGCCGCCCACCCGTACAGATGCAAGCGAAGGAGCAGGATGCGCTGGATCCGCCGCCCACCCCGCACAGATGTCGCTGGGTCCCCGGGCCATGCCGCTAGATCCCATGAAGGAGCAGGAGGTGGGGCGTCAGGTCGTCGTTGTTGTCCCGGCGCAGGAGGTGGAGCCGCCGGCGCAGGAGGTCCTAGAGCAGAGCGGCCGGATCAGGAGGTGTCGTTGCCGGAGTTGGAGAAGGCGCTGTGAGCCGAGGCCTTCATTTGAGGGGAGATGGGGTGTTTTTTTTTGTGGCCAACAAAAAAAAAAGGGGGGCATATTAGGGAGCTGCCGGAGCAAGAAATTTGCCTCATCTCTATCAATATGACAGTTTTATGGAAATGAAGGGTGGGATTGAGGAACTGCTGGAGATGCTCTAAGTAGACTTCAAAAACACATTGAAAGATGCACAAACAAACAGTTGGCACTCGCAATTCATTAGTCTAGAACCAAGGCATGGAAAATTCGGGTTATTTCTTTCATGGCGGTCTATCGTATCTGAAAGCATGAAACATACTCATATCAGTTACTTGATTCATACCTCACAGAAATCACATCACAATCTCATAAATAGTGGTGAAAGATACCATCGCTCACAGGCCTTTGAGCAGTAGCAGAATAAGTAAAACCTTCATATATACCTCAAGCAGGGCACAAATGAGGATGACAGAAGCACCCTACATTCAGTTGAGAATTTTCGAAGCAAAGGAAAACGTAAAACCGCTGCTATGAAACTGTAAGGGCATTTATAAACTACTACCAGTACAAGAACTCTAGAAGAGGGCACACATAAATGAAGTCCGAAACCAAAACTATAGAAAATAGTCGGCAGGCCACTGTTCGTACCAAGATCACAGAATTTGTCCACGTAAAAATGCTACGAGCTGGCAACTAGAGTTCTAGACTAGAAGAGCATAACTTCATCTCAGTGCTGATGCCATAGTAGCAAAGCATAGATAAACTTTTAACATAACACCAATGTTACGCCTCCTAATTGAGTGGCAATTCATCAATTAGTTTCCATTTTCCAGACATGAACAGCAACATACTTCATCTCATTACCACTAGCTGCTGCTGAGCTAACACTATTGCTAGCACCAGTCACCAGAGGAAGTGAAAACAAACATGTATACAGCATAGTCCAGGAATTTCAGCATAACATACTACCATGATTGAGTCTCTAGCCTCTGAACCACAGAACATGGGTAAATGTTTGAATCATGAAACACCCTGGAAACTACGAACAGACAGTTGTGCCAGTCTCTGGCCAAGCCAAGCAAAATTTGTAGTGTTTCTTTTAAGGGCAGCATATCATACCATGCTGCATCAGTACCTGATTTATGTTGCCCAGAAGTCACATACTCACATTGTAACACAATCAGCAGTAGTGAAAGATATTTATCAGTCAGGCATTTAAGAAATATCATCAGCCAAGTAAGCAAAACTTTCAGGTATACATCATGCACAGCACAGGTGAAGAGAACAAAAGGCATTCCACAATCAGTGCAAAACTTGGGAATAATTAAGTGTAAAACCTTAACAGCATGAACATTTATAAACTAGCACTCTAGAAGAGAGCACGCATAAAGGAGATTCAAAAGCCACAACAATAACAGAAGTCAACTTCACACGAAGGTTGCCAGAATAATGATAAGAAGGTACCGCAAGCTGCCAATTAAGGTTTTAGAATAGCACTAACTCATCTCAGTGCTGACTGCTGATCCTGGTTATGAGTAGTACTGAGTAACTTGTTGATGCTGAGTGATGTAAGCACAGTAAATTTTAATATACCATCTATGTTATGCCTCATTGTCAACCACTAAATAAGCGTATTAAAGAAGTTCCACCTCATATTTTAACAAGATTGTTTTCGTCCAGTGTGTTCCTGGCGGTTGATCTAGATATCAATTGTGTGAACATTGCGTGACATGCTATTTACATAATGTACAAAAGTCAATCATGGTCAAAATCAAGTGCACCATTTGCAAGAACTATTTAAAATTTGAAAATAACCATCAATTGCTAAACAGTCCTGGCATAGTTCACTTGATAATTACTTTTCAAAGCACATCCAAATTTGTTGAAGTCAATGGACCGGGATGAATAAATTGAGTTCTCAAGCACAGAAAACAAGCATTTACAATGTTGATTCTGTAATTACGATGAATGTCGCACATGATAGTACGTACCCTCTCAAAAACGAGGAAGAATTTGCTATATTATTGAAACAGCAAGATGTATGTACAAATTGTTAAGATAATTGTTCTTCCCATTCAACTCCCAAGCATAAAAGCTAAATCCTGAAAATTTTCAAGACCATAGAAGTATGATTCTAGTGGCGTGTAAACATCCTAATGTGAATTCAATGAGTGAGGTTTCTCACTTCCATGGAATGATGGAATTGCATCCAAGACATACCACCAAGCAGCCTTAGCTCAAATTCGCAACAGTGTACCCAACTGTGGCGTTGAGCCACCAGCGGAACGGCGCCTCGCCCTCCGCCTCTCGTACTCAGGGTCGTCAGTAGGCAGCTCGTACCGGCACACTGGGCACGTGTTCCGGATGGCGAGCCATGGGCCGATGCACACCCCGTGGTAGAAATGTCCGCACGGCAGCCCTGTGGCGAGCCCCCCCTGTTCCATCCCTTCCTTGCACACAGCGCACCCCTGTGCGGCCTCCTCGCCTCTGACGGCCACCACCTGGAGCCGCTCCACCGCCACGCGCGCCGCCGGCGGGGCGCCGCCCACGTCCACGACGTGCCCCGGCAGAATCTCGAACTCGTCGTCCAGCGACGCCGGGAGCAGCTCCCACCCGACGCCGCTCTGGAAGATGCCTTCAAGCTCCGCGTCGTCATCGCCGAAGTCGAACGGAGGCTCGTCGGAGAAGATCGAGTCGTCGTCCCCGCTGTCGATGCCCTCCATCACGCCCAGCATCTGCCGCTCGTCGAGGAATCCGAACACGTCAGCGTCGGCCTCTCCTTCTAGTCCTCCCCCTCCCCCTCCGCCGCCGCCGCCGCCGCCAGCCCCGCTGCCGACGCCGGGGGCAGCGTCCGCGATCTCCTCCCACTCGAAGCTAGCGGCGTCGTCCTCGAGGCAGTCCCAGAAGGGCGGGGAGCGGGTCAGCGAGGGGGAGAGGCGGCGGAGGTCGGGGTCGGAGTCGAAGGAGATGGGGGACCCCGGTGTGGAGGTTAGGGTTTCGGGATCGAAGCCCGGGGAGAGGACGTGGCGTGGGCAGGCGAGATTCAACTCGATGGACTCGGAGAAGGAGACGTCGGAGAGGTCTCCGAACCCGTCGTCCCCGACGTCGAGGAAGAGCTCGTCGCCGAAGTCCGCCATGGGAGGCGGCGGCGCCCGGCGTCCGGCGGTGGGGATGGGATTGGGTGGGGGTGGCGGGGATTTTTAACTTTTTGCCATCTCGCGGATGACACTCCTTGCTTCCTATTGTCGTCGTAAACAGTGAATCTCCTACGTTTTTGCCATTTTTTCAAACATGGCACGCTAGGTGGGCACGTCAGCGTGACAATGAGCCTGAGAAGACCTATAAAGCATGCGAAAATGACCTATTTACCCCATGTTGCTTCTCTCCCTCTACTCGCTGACGCGTGGACCCCACACGTCAGCTTTGTCTTCAACCTCCCATCATCACCCGAAGCCGAGCGACCCGATGGCGAGCGGGCTCTGGCGGCAGAGGGAGGAGGAGCGGCGCGCTGGCACCTAGGTCGTGTTGCTGCCTCATAAAAGCTCCCTGCGCTTGCTCCTGTTTGCAGCTTCCACGGAGACGGGTAGAAGACTGGAGCTTGTACGGAGTTGCGGCCATGACTAGAGCCCCATCGTCACCATCGATCCCCCCATCCAGCCGTCTCTACTACTCTCAGAGGGCTTTACGAGTTCGTAGTGGCATGACGACTTCACCCCGCTACTCGTCGTTCGGCAACCCCCGACCCATCGCCGTGAACCACTGCCGTCGCTGCCATTGTCGTCTCGAGGTTGAGCTCACCGATCTCCGCATACACAGCAGCTCTCGCCTCCCCGTCTCCTTCGTTGGCGCCACAGGGACCCGCCACGGCCGCCTATCCACATCTCAGTGCCAATCCATGGCCGCAGTGGCGTCTTCCACCTCAACCGAAGCACTTCGCCGGAGAGCCTCGGTTCTACCCGTGGCTAACTGCCACCAGCTCCTCTTTGCCGCAAGAACTCCTCTATCGACTTCGCGCGCGGTGCCTTGCTCGTCGTCCTCGACTGCTCGGCAGCCATGGAGGGATGACGAAGCTGGAGGTGCCTGGCTCCCATCCAGGTGCTAGAGGTGTGAGATGAAGCTAGAGGTGCCTGACTCCCATCCGTGGCTGGAGGTTGAAGACAAAGCTGACGTGTGGGGCCCACGCGTCAGTGAGTAGAGGAAGAGAAGCAACAAGGGTAAATAGGTCATTTCGTACTGTAGTGTTTACGATGATAATTGTGTAGCAGCACGTATAAAAATGATAAACGAAAACGATGACAAAAAAAAAAAGTTAAAAATCCCGGGGTGGTGCCGTGGTGGTGGTGGTGGTGCGGCGGCGGCCGTTGCAGTGTGACGTGTGAGGCGTGGCGTCCCCGTCTCGTGTTGGTGTTGGGTCTGGTCACTCCTCGCGCCCAACACGTGGTAAATAACACGCGTTCCTACAGCGTTTACTAAACTAGGAATACGCCTTCCAGTAGCGTTTGCGCTCACATGAGCCAAGTCAAATCGCCCTTCGCATGCTCTGCAGCAGGAGGAGAACGAGAAGCGCCAGGTCAAGTGATCCAATCACCTGACACCACCTCGCCCTCGCGAGATTCCTAGGGGAGGGGGAGAATCAGCTGTGGGCAGGCGATGAACTGTAGCGCGTGACAGCGAGAGGGTTTGATTGGATCCATTGTTTGGCCGGTCTGCGTGCATCACCTGATTGCAGCTCTGCATTTCCTGGCTATAAAGCGACGGGGCCCTTGGGCTGGCCTCGGGGACTGGAGAGGGAGAGAGTCCTCGCATCCACAAGTCCTCAGCTTTTGCGGGATTGAGATCCGGCAGGGGTACAGAGGAAGCTGAACTGTGGAAAGGTGCGTGTTCTCGGCTCTCTTCCCATCTTCCTTCCCTTGTGGTTTTGTTGTGGAAGAGCGGATTCTTCATTCTTGCTTGGGTAGGATTGGATAATTTGAGAGTTCATTTCTTGGGGTTCTGTGGCTGTACTCGGCTTTTCTGAGGCCAGTTTAAGTAGATGAAAGTTGTTTATTTCAGTTTGAGTTGCTGAGTTATGTGCTATCTGCAATGTTGTATTGTTTCATAGAGTAGTTGTTTGTTGATGTGAATTGTGTTGGAAGAATGGATTTTGGGCGTGCTTTAGCAGGCCTACTTAACTAGTGTCTACACCAAGATGATCATGTGCGATAAGATTTATTGTTAGGCCCTTTACCTTTGGCTGTCTTCTTACTTTTGTTTCAGGAAGCTTATTTGGTGTGCATACTCTTTGACTATGAACGGAAGACTTGTTATCCGAATTGTTTTGTTTTTATAATGGATCTACATTTCCATTGCTTTAAGACACTGCTCATACAAATATGAGAATATTATTCTAGGTAAACAATATAAGAAATGGAAATCAAAATAGAGAATGCATAGTTCAAAGAAATCTAGATCTCATCATAGTTATATTCTAGTAAAAGAACAATTGTAACTGGCTATTCAAATCAGTGATCTATTGCACCAAGTTTCTGACTGAAAAGTTTTCACAATCAGGAGTGACAGAAAAATGGGGATTGGAGATGGATCGTCAAATGGGAACCAGCAACCGGTGCATAAGGAAATACGAGATGAGACCACGCCACTTCTTCCAGTCAAGGTGGAAGAGGACGAGGGGTTTCATGAGTTCAACGGTGCTTCATTCTCTGGGGCGGTTTTCAATTTGTCGACCACCATAGTTGGGGCTGGAATTATGGCTCTGCCAGCAAGTATCAAGATGCTGGGCGTCATCCCGGGGATTCTGTCGATCATCCTTGTGGCACTGCTCACAGAAGCATCCATCGACATGCTTGTCAGGTGCAGCCACCAGGGCAAGATTACGTCATATGGGTGGCTGATGGGAGAGGTTTTCGGACAGTGGGGGAGAATTGCGCTGCAGGGCTCCGTCATCATAAACAATGTTGGCGTCCTAATTGTGTATATGATTATCATTGGTACTCTTAAACTCAGCACTCTTCCATCTTCTAATCTTATTTTTGCACATTTGAGATGCACACTGAAATGACTAGGTATTAGTAGTTCTCCCAGTATACTTTTTAGTCCTTTTTAACTGACACGATGACACAGTCTCTTTTGGGGCATGCCTTTAGAGCCCCAAGTCAATTTTTCCTAAGGATGTTCAGATAGAATATACAACAACAGCAACAACATAGCTTTTCAGTCCCAAGCAAGTTGAGGTAGGCTAGAGTTGAAACCCACCAAGAGCCCCAAGTCACGGTTCAGGCACTTCAATAGCTGCTTTCCTTCAAACACTGTTCAGATAGAATATATTATTTAAAATTCATTCCCTAGCTTTAGGTATGGATTCCTTCAGCATATTGCTTTCTGTTAATTCAGGAAACTCACCTATGACCTTCCTGACAATACTCTCTCCTGTTAGAGAGAAGGGGGAGGGAGAGGGAGAGAGAGAAGGAAATATTCCCATTGTGCAACACCTTGCACTTAAAATGAAACAACTTATGCAATTGACTGAGATTAATTCTGGTTCTTAATAATTTCATAGGTGATGTATTATCTGGAACAACATCAGGCGATGTTCATCATCGTGGTATATTGGAGGGCTGGTTTGGAGCTCATTTGTGGAATTCTCGTCCCATTGTTCTTCTTGCCACAGCTCTTTTGGTGTTTGCTCCATTGGTGAGCTTTAAGCGTTTGGGTATGTGTACATGTTTGCATATTGAGAAAAATATCCTTCAACATATTCCCTATTGTTGGCTGCATACTATTCAAGTAAATCTTGTCATTTTTTGCAGATTCATTGAGATACACATCTGCACTATCAGTTGCCCTGGCAGTAGTTTTTGTTGTAATTACTTCTGGGATTGCCATCATCAAGCTCTTCAATGGAACTGTGGCGATGCCCAAACTTTTTCCAGAATTAGATGGTCTTAATTCTATCTGGAATCTTTTTACAGCTGTCCCTGTTCTTGTGACAGCCTATATCTGCCATTATAATGGTATGTGCTATCATTGTACAGATAATCTTCTGGTTATTCAATATTTAGATTCTAAATTCGTCATGGTCATGTTTCCACAGTTCACAGCATTGACAATGAACTTGAAGACAGAACACAGATCAAACCGATTGTGCGAACATCGCTGTTCCTGTGCTCCAGTGTTTACATTGCCACAAGTTTCTTTGCATATCTCCTCTTTGGTGAGGGCACACTGGATGATGTGCTTGCCAACTTTGACGCAAATCTTGGCATTCCATTCAGTTCAGTCTTTGATGACATAGTGCGAGTGAGCTACGCCGCGCATGTCATGCTTGTCTTTCCCATTGTCTTCTTTGCCCTTCGGCTCAACTTGGATGGGTTGCTCTTCCCCACATCAAGGCACATTTCTCGTGACAATAAGAGATTTGCCATTATCACCATCTCTCTCCTCACAATAATTTATCTTGCTGCCATTCTCATACCAAGCATTTGGGACGCGTTCCAGTTTACTGGTGCCACAGCTGCCGTCCTGATTGGCTTTATCTTTCCTGCCATGGTCATCCTTAGGTAACTGAATGTTTATTCTTGGTGTATATTGCCTACTGGCCAAGCCATTTTGTATAATATGTAATATCGTGACTTGAATTTCTGCAGGGATTCGTACGGAATCGCAACTAAGCGTGACAAGATTCTGGCTGTAACCATGATCGTCCTTGCTGTTCTGTCAAATTCTGTTGCCCTATACAGTGATGCGATGAACATCTTCCGGAAGAAGGAAGTGGCCTGAACTTCAGACTTCAAAAGTAGTCAGTGATGGATGAAGAACAATCTCTTAATGCAAAACTCGATGATGCGAATGAAGATGATGCACTTGGATTCCGTGAAGCACCTCAGAATTTGGCCACTTGAAAGAATCTGGTGCTTGAAATTTCCTGGTCTTGTGTACACAAGTCGGCTCAGTGTCAGAATTGAGCCGCTTGAAATATATGTATATTCTATGCGGAGAGTAAGGCATGGAAAAAGCTTTCTCCACAATAATGTACAGTTATGCCAATTTCTAAGTTTAGTTAAATTTTGTGAAATGTGGACATGGGCGTCTTGTCTCGTATGATTGAGAATGATATGATTACATACGTCGCTACCATATTTGTTTTTGCCTTTCTGCTGTAACCAAGGGGCACCATTTTCTCGAGCTGAGTCTTTCTGCGTGTCGAAAGGTCACGAGTCACGACGCCAAGCAGTCACTAGAGCCACGTTATTCCAGCAAATTAAATCCTCTGTTCGGATTCTTAGCATCAAGAGGGCCAATGAGCGTAGTGATAGAATCGTCGGGATCTCTAATTTCGATAGGCCTATCATTCTGTCACTAGCCAGTAGCCACCTGTTTTTATCATCAACAAAAAAACATAGCAACATGTTTTCTGTCACTAGCAATCTGGTTTCGAGTAGCAAATGAGCACCCCTAGGATTAGGGTTGATGAGTTTGTTTAGGCAGAAACTCTTCACATAACGACAGTCCAATACTCCAATCAAAGCATGAAGATAGATTAATTACAGGTGGCGCGGTTACAGCCACAAGTTCCGGCGTTTAGACAGGAGTCAATCGGAGATCAATTGACTGACAGGGACTCAAATGATGACATGTTTCAATGAACAACACTTTGATTTGTGTTTTGCAAGCTACTTCGTGAATTTCCTATTGTTTGTCTACACATCAGTCTACAGGAAAAAGTAGGTTAAAAGAGTGATTCAGGTTCACCAAGTCCCTAGCAGTGTAGCACTCAACGAAGACAACAACAGCATAGCCTTTCAGTCCCAAGCAAGTTGGTGTAGACTAGAGTTGAAACCCACCGAAAGCCCAAGTCACGGTTCAGGCACTTCAATAGCTGCTTTCCAAGTAGTCATATTCAAACATAGATCTTTAGGTATATCTCATACTTTCAAATATATTTTTATTGTCTCCCCATGTCAATTTCGGTCTTCCTCTACTTCTTCTCATATTATTAGCTTGGCTTAGGACTCCACAATACTAGGGCCGGTCCTAAGATGTTTTGGACCTAGTACGAAACTAAAATTTTGGGCCTTTTTATATAAACACGATAATACTAGTACCATTCATGGCCAGTTTATATACACAAATATACAAAATGTTACTAATAAACAGTTAACTGAATGCAAAAACAATACTCATGTGAAATAATTTGTATACATATTGAATTACCTCAAAATTTTCTTCTAACAGTCCTCGATGCGAAAGACCTCGATGATGGTGTCAATATCAATCTCCAACAATCGCTTCTCAATGATTAATGTTTCCAATCCATTTAACCTTTGGATGTTCTAGATTAGCGTTAGCTGGTGTCTCCATATCTCAAATCATCTGTTAAGAAATTTATGAAGAGCCCCTCTCTGTTATTGTATCAAAACATCTATTCGTGTTCTCTTCTTTCTTTTGTCATTGTCAGAAGCATACTTTCTTGATGATATGGTACTGTTAAAATTTAGAGAAACAATTAGTCAAAGATTAAACAATTTGCAGAGGAAAGATTAAACAATCAGTAACTGTTCATTCTCTTTTGTCATTGTCAGAAGCATACTTTCTTGATGATATGGTACACGCTGGCGACTCGCAGAGCGGCAGAGTCGCGGTCGTATGCAGAGGAAAGAGAATGAACAGTTACTGACTCCGTGACTCGCAGTCGAAGGCTCAAAGCATCTCGCGTCGTCATGAGGACCGAGGAGTCGCTGCTGTGGCGTGCCTACGTCTGCAACTCTGCGTACGTATGTTTGTTACTAGGCTCACATACGCCGAATACTACTAGTGTCTGCGTACCTAGGGTGGGGCCCATGTGGCTCCCTAGGCCTAGGACGGTTGTCCCTCTCGCCCCGCCCCAGGGTCGGGCCTGCACAATACACTGGTGTCTCTGAAGGTCTCCTTTGGACATGGCCAAACCACCTCAACTGATGTTGGATAAGCTTTTCTTCAATTGGTGCTACCTCTAGGCGTGTAGGGGACCGTGACGCCTGAGAGGGGGGTGAATTAGGCAACTTAAAACTCTAAACAATGGCCTCTTTTTCTAATCTTAGTAAAACCTATGCAAAAGATAAACTATCTAAATGTGCAACTACGGTTTTGCTAGTGTGTTGCTATCTCTACCGCAAAAGGAATAATACAATCAATATAAATACGAAAGCTAAAGAGCAAGGTAGAGATATGCAAACTCCCGTCGACGACTCCGGTATTTTTACCGAGGTATTGAGAAGCACGCAAGCTTCCCCCTAGTCCTCGTTGGAGCCCCTCATAAGGAATCCCTCGCAAGGACCAAGCTCTCGGTCGGGTAACTCCGTGGATAGCCTCGGGCCTTCCCCACGCGCAAGTGGGTCTCTGACGTGCCTTCCGGCAAGCCTCTCCTGGATGCTCCATGCGTCTTCACTATCAAGCTTCGGGCCAAAACACCTCGGGCCTTGTCCCCTCTGGTACACGGTGGCGGCCACACCACAACCACGGTTGGTGTGATCTCGTAAGACTACAAGCCCCTCCGATGTACAACAATGGTGCGTGCAAGCACCGAGTGGTAAAAGGTATGCAAACATCACTAAACACTAGGCCTAAACCTAGAGCAAGCACATAAGCGATGGTCTAATCAATCTAAGCACTTCGCAAAGCACCTACGCCAATCACCTAATGAATCACTAAGCACTATGCAAGTGGAGATCACTAAAATGGTGTATCAACACCCTTGATATGCTCCCTTAGCTCTACACGCTTTATTTGGCCGGTTGGGGGTTTATTTATAAGCCCCACTGAGAAAGTAGCCGTTGGGGATGAAATCCTACTTTTCTTCTACTGACCGGACGCTGATCACGTCCTGACCGGACGTGTCCGGTCGTCCCGACCGTTAGAGCTACGATCACCGGACGCGTCCGGTCACAATTTCACCGCTCTGCAACCTTTCTGTACTCGATCGGACGCTGAAGTTTTGCGTCCGGTCGATTTGCCGCCAGCGTCCAGTCCAGCGTTCGGTCGTTGCTGCTGACGCCTGCTGTTGCCGAGCCTCTTGATCGGAGCGTCCGGTCACTTTCCGCCAGCGTCCGGTCATCTATGTGAGCTCGTTTCTTCGCGATCTTGCGTACGACTTAGTTCCTATCTTCGTGCTTGGACTTTGCTTGATATTTTGGGTCTTCTGTTGTGCTTCTAAAGTCTTGCTTATGGTGTTGATCATCGGATCATCATGTTGCCTTCGTCCAAGTCACGTCTTGCACCCTATTGGACTACAAAACAATCACTTGCAAATTCATTAGTCCAATTTGGTTGTGTTGGTTATCAAACACCAAAATCCAAAGTAAATGGGCCTAGGGTCTATTTTCCTTACAATCTTTCTCTTTTTGGTGATTGATGACAACACGACCAAAGCAAGCAAATAATAAAAATTTGCAATTTAAAAGCTATGTACTTGCTAGGATGCAATGCAAGGCAAGGTTATATGATGCTAAAAGATACTACTTGTAAGACTAAAAGATACTACATGAAAACTTATCTTGCCTTTGCAAATGTCCCCATGTGGCATTATGGATATAAGCCTTGCTTTCTACAAATTCTCCCCATTACCTAGACTAATCCATAATCCACTATCCTTCCTTTCTCGGACCATTACCACTTGTAGACCATTACCACTTGTAAATTATTATGATCTAGCTTTTGGTCCTACAAATTAATGCTTGCTTTTGGTCGTCTAAATTCTCCCTCTTTGGAATCAAACACTGAAAAGGAAGACATTAGTAGCACAACGGAAGGTCAAACTTTGTGATCCTTTATATGTAGAGTGGAATAGGTCACAAAGTTTGACTCTCACATTATATAGACTAAGCTCCCCCTAAAGATATGCATACATTTGGTAGAAGGCAAAGCATATGCATAATTGGCAAATTATTGTACAAGGGAATTTAATCTATATAATGCATGGAGAAAACATATAAATATCAAAATGAAATCAACATGATGATATCGGTTTAGAAATACCACATATGGAAACCAATTTGATTTCTACCACTTGCAATATGTGGTGGATATTTGGATGGACACACCCTTGACATTGAGCCTTTGGATCATCTTCTCCACCTTGTTGATAAGTTTGATTGATTCTTCATCAAGGTCGGAGGTGGAAGAGAAAGATTGATCATCATCACTTGAATCTTCATTATCATCATCATCGTCCTCATCATCTTCTTCTTCATCTTCACTTGAGGAGCTTGAGCTTGAACTTGTCTCAACTTGCTTGCCCTTCATCTTCTTTTTCTCGCTACATGCGAGAGCTTTGCCTTTGCTCGATGAGGAGGCTTCGTCTTGACCCATATTACGTGACATTTCAAATGCCACTATCTTGCCAATGACTATACCCGGGCTCATGGTGCTCAAGTTCTCCATGTTGTGAAGGATGGTGATGATGCTTGCATATTTCTTTTGTGGTAGCACGGAGATGATCTTCCTCATGATGTCCGCATCATCTAGCTTTGTTAATCCTATTGAATACAGCTCATTGATAATTAGATTCAAACGAGAATACATATCATGAACAAGCTCATCGTCATTCATTGTAAAGGAATCATAATTTTGTTTAGCTAGACAATGTTTTTGCTCACTGATATTAGATGTGCTGTCATGGAGCTCTTGAAGTTCTAACCAAATTTCATGTGCCGTATTTAAAGTGAACACTTGGTTAAACACATCCATACTAAATGATTCAAACAAACAATTTTTAGCTCTAGTATTGAAATGAATTTCCTTTT